GTAGTAGTAGTAGTAGGAGTAGTAAAGCGCCACGAGTGCTCAAGTCGGAGGGAATGTTTCCTTGCTGCCATGACTACTGTCCTAACTCCGCTGGTTCATCTGCGGATTAGAGCCCGAGAGCTACTGATAGACCAACTGGCGTATGAGGGAGTGAGCGAGATAGGCAGGACGCAGGCGGATGCGATTGCGGTGCAGCTTTGGGATGCCACAACTGTGGACGAGCTCCTACGAGAAGTACAGGAGTCCCTGCCTTCAGATGCCTTCGGCATACTGTTGCAGTTCTGCAGGCGTGAATACCCTCTGTTGTTTGCCTCGCTGCCCAGCAACATCACTGGTGAGTCTTTGCAGCTTTTCCGGTCTCAGTACAGAACCGTGTTCAAGCTTGGCCAAGAGCAGCGCATGGCGGTTGAGCGATTGTCTAAGTACGCAGCAAGAAACACAGCGACAGCATTCGACCCGGTCCCTAGTCCGGGGCCCACTGAAGGCGGAAGTGCAGAAGCAGGCCCCCCTTCTTGGGGGAAGCAATGAGGCAGTGTTGGCTGTGCTTCCCCGGAGCAGCCAGGACCCTTCACTGGGAAAACAGGGGAACTGAAGCGGTGGAGACAATTTTTAATTCGTGGAGATCCAAAAAGAGGCAAGCGCGCCTTTCGAAGGGCACAGAAAAGAGCCGACTTACAGGGGCAGGCAGTGTACAAAGGACGCGTAATCCATGGCAGAAAGGCGGCTGCCGTCCAAGGATCACAAGCTGCTGGTGCGATGTCTGCTAATGGTTCGCCTCCTGTGGCTGAGTGCAGCCAGATCATGTCCTGGAACGCAGGCGGACTATGTGGCGAGACAAAAGTAGAGTTCGAGCACTACCTGCAAACGAGCTCTGACTTGGACGTTGTGCTAGTCCAGGAGACGCATTGGGGAAGCATGGAAGCATCAAGGCTGGAGCTATTTCCACTCTGCTTCCGAGAAGCCTCGGCAGGCCGGTGTCTTGGTTGGAATCCGTTCCAGTGTTCTTGATGAATCTCGGACTGCGTGGAGGGAGATTGTTCCGGGCAGGCTCATCTGGGTGCGTGCAAGCATTCGGGGCCAACAATGGGATCTTCTGAACTTGTACCAGCTCGCGCAAACTGGGCGAGATGGCGAGACCAAGGACTACAGGATGAAAGAGCGACGTGCTGTTTGGAACAAACTTCAGCGAACGCTCCGAGGACTTCCGATCAGGTCCCTGCTAGTTCTGGGTGGCGACTTCAATTTGAGCCTGGAAGTGTCTAGCCCGGTTACTGGCAGTGGTGTCCTGACGGCTGAAGGTGGGCGCGAGGTTCGAGAGGAGCGGGCCAAGGTTATGGAAATGCTGCAAGAGATGCAGATGACTGTCCTCAATACGTGGAGCAAGCCACGTCCTACCTACATACACCCCACGGGCAGCACGCAGATTGACTTCATTGTGGTCCGGCGGCGCAATGCGGACAAGCTCAGCAAGCTTTCCCGGCCAGTGGGCCTAGGATTGTCGGCATGGCGTGGCTGCGGGCATCGGCCCCTCACTGCATTCACTTAGGTCTGTTTGGCGACCTTGGCGGATGGGCCGCCTCGTCAAGCCCCAGGAGCAGCCAGTGGTCCCTCCAGGTGAGGCTGACATTGTTCGACTACAAGGACAGGTCAAGCTGGCATGCGAGGGTCCTCCTGCGCAAGCTTGCGAGCTGCATTTTCGCTGTTTCGGGCTGTATGCAATGTTCAGCGGGCACACAGGGAGCTGAAGCGGCACTGCCGAACGCGAAAGAGGGAGCAGCTGCTGTTATGTCTTTCGGAGGCAGAAAAGGCCTTACCGGCTGGGAGACTTCAGGGCTTTCTTTGGCTTTATCAGGGCGGTGGCGCCGAAGCAGTATTTGCCGCAGATCAAACTGCGGGGTGAGGAGGGTCAGCTTCTTACTCAAGATCAGGAAGGCAGCCTTCTACTGGAGCACGTGAAGAGAATTTTTTCTGGCAGGTGTGATGGTGTGCCGGAGCTTATGCGCATGCCTGAGGATCTGTTCTGCGCTCACAACTGGGAGAGGGCTCTCCGAGAAATTAAGCCGCGCAAAGCTGTGCCGCGAGGGGAGGCTCAGATTTCAGCATGGCAGCAGCACACTTCGGAGAATGCTCGGAGACTCTCTGAGTTGAGTATACGCTTTCTGTGTTCTGATGCCCCTTGGATACCTACTCTTTGGTGTAAGATTCAGATTGCTTGGTTGCCCAAGCCCAAAAAGACGCCGTGCTGTCCAGAACATCTCAGAACCGTGGGGCTGATGTCAGGAGATTCGAAATCGTTCATGACTCTCCTCAAGAATGCGGCACACGGTGTGGTTCAGCGGTCTCTGCAGTCCTTCCCTCAGTTTGCGTACAGGTCTGGGGCTTCCACTTTGGATGCAATACTGCGGGTCACAGAGCATTGTCACCATGTGCGGAGTGTTCTCGAGAGCATTAACTCCTCGAAGACTGCTCGACTCATGGGGGCTGAGCTTCCATCGCTACGGGGTGGGCTCATGGTTGCAATTGACCTTACAAAGGCGTTTGACAATGTCACCTACCAAGAGATGTATTTGGGACTGTGTGAGTCTGGGCTTGATGAGGCCTTAGTACGGCTGATTGCGCAGGTGCACCTGAATACCTCTTGCTCAGTGTTGTATGGAAGTTACTCGGGGTCCGTGGGAATGTCAAAGGGCCTTCGGCAAGGCTGCCCTATTGCACCTTTGGTCTATCTTGCGTGGTCGGCCAGGTTCCTTAGGCAGGTCAACTCGAGGATTTCGGATAGATGGGATCTCCTTCACGCCACGGTGTATGCTGATGACAAGCATCTTGCATGGGAAATTGATGGGGTACATACCTTTTCACGGGCCATCAAAGAGCTGGGGGTGGTGCTTCAAGTGCTACGCGACCTTGGCATGGAAGTCAGCTTTGGCAAGTGTGAGGCAGTGCTTTCCCTGAAGGGTGCCAGGCAAGCAGAGATCCTTAAGAAATACACGAGGGTACGCAATGGTTCAGCGCATTTGGTTATCAAAACCGACCGGGAGATTTTAACACCACTGAAGTCAGAGATCACGTACCTTGGCGCTGTGTTGTCCTGCGGGCCCTTTGAGTATGCCACGGCACAGCATCGCTGCAGGCAGGCGTGGAAAAACTACAAGTCTCTTCGCCGAGCCCTTCGCACAAACAGTGTTTTGTCCTCAGCTGAGCGGCTTCGCATTTATCGAGTTTGCATTTGGCCAGTGATTGAATATGGGCTATGTGGTACAGGGGTGGATTTTAAAGTCTCCGACTGGTTGAGAGCACCGTTGCGCAGCACTTGCGCAAGGTTCTTCGGATCCACGAACATGGAGTTTCAAATCGCGCTGTCTTCGAGCGTGCCGACCTTGACCCTCGAGTTGTGCTTGAGCGCAGACTGGCTTGTCAGTACGAGCGTATTGAGAACGCAGAGCCCGTTTCGGTTGTGGCTAGACTTTGTGGTAGGGCCTCACAGGTCCTTGAGTTCTACAGACGGCTCATCGAGACGGAAGGCTCTGCGCTCACTCCAGTCAGCACTGGTACTGGTGTTCCATGTCCGGTTTGTGGGGTATACTTCGACAGTGAGGCTGGAGTTGCTCTTCATATACAAAAGAGGCAC